GAAGGAAGGAAGGAAGGAAGGAAGGAAGGAAGGAAGGAAGGAAGGAAAAAAAAGAACTAATTTAGTTTGACCTTGGTGCCATTATACCAGGCTTTATGTCTGTCTTGGTTAGGGTTTTACTACGATGAACAGGCACCATGACCAAGGCTACATTTAATTGGGGACAACATTTAATTGGGGCTAGCTTACAGGTTCAGAGGTTCAGTCTGTTATCATCCAGGCATGCATGGTGCAGGAGGAGCTAAGAGTTCTTCATTTTCATCTGAAGACTGCAAGCAGAATACTGGCTTCCAGGCAGCTAGGACTAGGGTGTTAAAGCCCACACCCACAGTGACACCTACTCCAACATAGCCACACCTCTCATAGTGCCACTCCTAGGGCCAAGCATGAACAAACCATCACAATGTCTAATGTTGAACTTGTGAACTTAAAAAATAGAGAGCATAGCGTTTAACAGGCTCTGTCTGTCTTATGGAAAATGATATATACCTTGTCCTCAGCAAAATACTTTTCTGGTTTCTCTGAGAAGCCACCCACTAGCTTGTAGTTTCAAAGATGGCCCCGGGGCATACATGGCATCTCAACGGGAGCTATGGAGGCACTCCTGGAACCAGTCATCCCTCTGGCTTTGCATGTAGAGTCGGAAACCTAGTTCTGGAGAATCTAAGGTGATCCTGACCGTTCTTACTGACTTGAAGAGCAGGTAGTGTGCAGGACAGGACTTTTGATCTGTCTCATAGAAATGCAGACCTGTTCTCCTTTCTCAGGCAGATATTTCTTCTTAAACTTTAGATCCAGGATATCAGTGTGGAGACTGAAGATAACAAAGAAAAAAAGTCAGCTAAGGATGCATTGCTGCTGTGGTGCCAGATGAAGACAGCTGGGTGAGTGTGCACTAGAAGGACACGCAGCATCTCCAGGATTAACACACGGGGCACTAGGTGTCCTCCAGGATTAAGTTCCCTCTCAGCATAACTGTGAAGGTGCTGACAAGTGTCTTTTTATAGCTTCTGCTGAGATGTCTTGTTACCACATAAACAGCTGGTATGTGACATATCAGAGCTGTCTGTCAGAATGGAAAGAGTTGTGATTTATACTTTGAACCTATCTTAGTTCCTCAATCAGCTGCATTCTCTTTATCAGGAAAGCTCCACGGACTGTTAGATCTTAAATTATAAAATTCTGGGAGCATTTCTAAGAATCAAACCCAGATATCTTTTTAAATGCATTTGGGAGTTTTCTTCTTTTGAATTCCTGCCACGTGGGGAACGTTATTCAGCAAACCTAGACGCTGTTATTATGTAAACCTGTCCTGGTTTTCCACTGAAACCCAGTTTGGAGATACTTTTACACAACTGCAGCTTGTGGTTGTTTATTGACATTGTGTGAATTCAGCTAATACCAAACATGTAACATGAGGCTGGAAAGCTGGCTCAGAACTTTGCAGCACCTGCTGCTTTCCTGGAGGACAGGTTCTGTTTCCAGCTCCCACCACTGGTGGCTTACAGCTGCTGGAACTTCTGTACCCTCAGGATTCTGTGGGCACACGATGCTCATAAACTCACAAAACACACGCATACATAAATAAAATTGAATAAAATATGTATTTTTAAATCCTGTAAAGTGCTGATGAAATTATTTCAGAGTCCTTGGTTCTTAATAAGAAGCAGTTCTTTATCAGGTTAATTAGTGAGTTACTCTTAAAACTACTTTACCTTGGGGGTGGTGAGATGGCTCAGCAGGTTAAGGGTACTTGCTGTAAAGGGAGTTGGCCTCAAGCCTGATGATCTGAGTTAGATCCTAGGAATCCAGGTGGAAGGAGAGAACACATTCCCATAGGTATCCTCTTGATACCCATAAACCATAACCCAACCAGATAGATGAATGCAAAAAAATTCAAAATATCTCTACCTTATTCATAGGTGTAAGCAATGAATGTTAAGCATGGGAACTAGAGAGAGCTTATAGTCCTGTGGTTCCCAGCAACATTATAATGCTGTGACCTTTAATACAGTTCCTCCTGCTGTGCTGACCTCCAACCATAAAATAATTTTTGCCGATGGGCTGATGAGATGGCTCAGTGGTTAAGAGCACTGAGTACTCTTCCGAAGGTCATGAGTTCAAACTTCAGCAACCACATGATGGCTCACAACCATCTGCATTGAGATCTGATGCCCTCTTGTGGGTGTCTGAAGACAGCGACAGTGTACTTGCAAGTGGGGCCAGAGCAAGAGGGAGAAGGGAAGGGGGAAAAATAATTTTTGTTGCTACATCATAACTGTAATTTTACTACTGTTGTGAATCATAAATAATGTGATACGCAGGATATCTGACATGGAGCTTTCAAAGGGGCTGTGACCCACAGGTTGAAAATCACTGCTGTAGTCTGTGAAGCAGACGAAAGCATGTCTGAACCTTTGTGCAACCACAGATACAATGTGGTATAAAACAGGGGACTCGTTAGAGACCAGTTTGAAACAGAAAAGTTTTCTAGAAAAGTTCTTCCTTTATAAATCATCTATCCAGTTAAGTGCTATATGTAAAACAGAGAACTGAGTATCACATGACTGGGCAGTCTAGCCAGCTTTGTTTCAGTTCTGTATGAATTCAGATCCCAGTAGGATGGAGCCTGAAGCCCTGGCAGGTGGAGTACAAAGCCACAGGAAGCAAAAGGCTTCTGTGTTATGGTCACTTTTTCCTGAGTAAAGATACTGTTTGAAAATTCAGAACACAGTTCACATCTAAGAGAATTGAATTACCAAGCAGTTGTAAAGAAATATAGCTATTTATTTTTATTTCACAGCAACCTGATTTTTTTTAAAAAAGTTTTTGTTTGTTTGTTTGTTTGTTTATTTAATATATATGACGAATACACTGTAGCTGTCTTCAGACACACCAGAAGAGGACATCAGATCCCATTATAGATGGTTGTGAGCCACCATGTGGTTGCTGGGTATTGAACTCAGGATCTCTGGAAGAGCAGTCAATGCTCTTAACCTCTGAGCCATCTCTCAAGCCCCACAGCAACCTGTTTTTAAGGGGACATATGCTCAGACGTAATTGTTGTTATTGAGATATGGCCTTGAGTTAACAGTGAACATGGGTTTTGTTTTGTTTTGTTTAAGCTCAGGCTTGCTTGCTTATTTATTTATTTATTTATTTATTTTTAAAGCTTTTAGCAAAGGCATAAACCTTTAGTAATTCTGTTGTTTTGTTTTTGTGCTCTGTCTTTGACAGGTACCCCAATGTCAACATTCACAATTTCACTACTAGCTGGAGAGATGGCATGGCCTTCAATGCACTGATACACAAACACCGGTAAGTCTGAAGAAACCGTGGTAACAGTAGAGAGATAGAGCACCTTTTCCTGTGGCAGATTTGGATGAGTTGTGCTATCTCCTGTCCGTGGGTTGGATACTGTGCTATAGTGGTAATTCTGCATTCATATTAGGAAGAGTATATGAGTTCATTATTCAAAAACCATGTATCATTGTCTGATGATTATATAATATTGTAATTTCACTCTACTCAGTGATTATTTTAACATTTCTGGAGCAATTATCATGTCTCATTAGACACTTGATTTGTTTCCAAGGCATAATGTTTCTTATGTTCCACTGTCGTTCTTTATAGGCCTGACCTGATAGATTTTGACAAACTGAAGAAATCTAATGCACACTACAATCTGCAGAATGCATTTAACCTGGCAGAGCAGCACCTTGGTCTCACTAAACTGTTAGACCCTGAAGGTAAGGATCTGAGATATGAAAGGTGGGACTTGAACATCTCTAGCATCGAAAGGTTAATGTAAAGTCTTCTTTGTGTTGCTGTGCTCTGTGTGTATGGTATGCCTTGAGAATTATCAAAAGAAGTAGTAGAAGGATAATTTAAAATTCCAGTTATGGCAACAGTTGAGGGTTTAACAGTATAGAATGAGTTACATTTGACCAGGCTTTGAAGATGGGTGAGAGAGAGGGCACAGACAAAAGTAAAAAGCCGGAAAAACAGGCATTTGAGGAGTGAGGGGCTCTGCGAATGGTGTAAAGAATACCCCTTGGAAGAGGGTGGCCTTCCCCCTGCAGGCTGTCCTTGGACTTCTTAGCACCTGTGCTCACTGAGAAGGCCTAGCATAGGCACTCAGTGAATGCTTGTTGACTGATGTTCGTGAGAACGTGTATGCTGAGAGTAAGTAAGATTGAGAACACGGGCCTTCTTAGGATGCTGGAGCTTAAATAAAGAAGAGGATGTGTGGGTAGATGAGACAGAGGCACAGTTTTCTTACAATGGACTGTATCTCATCTGTATGGAGCTAACTGCTAGGATCTGGGTCCCTGCAGTAGCCAAAGCTTGTCTTCAGATGACCAAGCTGCCCTCTCTGGGACAGCCTATAAAAATCCTCATTTCTAGGTCCCATTACAAGGTGGGATTTCAGAAGAACTTTTCCTAATTTTGAGAAATATTTAAATTATAAAGGGATTATTTAGTTTGTAATGCTAGAGACTTAGAGATCCTCTCAGCTGTAAGCAAATATTAGAGACAAAAATCTGTGTATGAAAGTTTAAAGTTCTTATAAATCTAGAAGAGGAAGTTGATCACCCCAAGGGCATCTTGAGGTCATGTGGCTGCCAAGCTGGTTTCTTGCTGTTCTCCAGTGGGTAAGACTACAGGAAGCCAAGATAAAATTATCTTATGCTATTAAGTGATTTCTTGATGTAAAAAGAGTGCTAAAATTCCTTGAGCTATGATCAATCTTCATGTTTAGTTAACTCCTTCCTCGCTGTGAGCTGTTTTCCTTAGGGCTAGCCCTTTGTATTTGTACAGCCAACCTCTTTCCCTTTCTCCTAACACACAGACTTTTTATTAACACCATTCATTAATCTTTCTGATCTTCAGGGAGTATAAAAGGGAGACTGATATTTTTCAGGTCACAAGACTGGAGCTAAAAATAGCATTTGATGTCTTGTTTCCTGTGGTTTTGACCTTGATCACTAGTGGCCCAGTGTTACAAAGGTTATCAGTTAAAATGTGTCCATAGATTAACATTTGAAGAGAGGAAGGGGAAAGCGAGGAGAAGCTGCATCAAGGTTAAAAGAACTAAAGGGACTGTGCTCACGCTAAAGATCATTTTGTGTTCGACTTTCGGAGTGGGGCAACAGAGAAGCCCAGCGAGGAAGCCGTTGTTTTAAGTTTTTTTGTGTGAACAGGAGGGCCTGAGCTATGTGTGACGTTAAAATCTGTCACTGCCTGGATTCGGGTGAAAGGAGACAAAGTTGTCCAGAGATGAATGTGCCATGGGCTGAGATGTGGTGTCTAACCACAGCCCAGTTTGGTGTCAGGGGTTGAGAGTAAGGTGAGGAGACAAACGAGCCTTCTACAGAAGGCCTTCGTGTATATTCATGTGCTAAATGAATCTGTGGTGTGCTGTCTTCCCTGTTGGGCAGTTCACTATGTGATGGCAGAATTTTCAAAGACTAAGAAGTTGCTGGATGGTTAAGTGATGCTGACGTGTTGTTGCTGCTTTTGCTGCCCGGGTGGCAGCCTGATGTGTAGCACTCTGAGTGAAGCCCTCTGTTTGCAGATATCAGTGTGGACCACCCTGATGAGAAGTCCATCATCACATACGTGGTGACTTACTACCACTACTTCTCCAAGATGAAGGCCTTGGCTGTGGAAGGAAAGCGCATAGGAAAGGTGAGCGTCTCACATACATCAGAGCGCGCCTCCTGCACTGCTTCTGAGTGAGCCCTTGTTCTCTATGGATTCCACTTGGCCAGTAGCAAACACTACTTAACAGTAGTAGAACCCTTGTCTTCCCAAAGGTAATGAGAAGCTGAGTGGTGGTGGGAATCTCTGGAAAGGAACTGAGGAGGGATTTTAGACAAACCTCCTGTCATCCTTCACAGGAAATACACTGTTGAAAATCTAACTAAATTGGCTTCACCCTGGTCAGGAAGTCCTACTGGCCATGATTTTAAAAGCCTTTAGTCTTAGGTCTTTTTCGTCTCGTGTAGGCAGATATCACCCGCTCTCCCCCTGCCCCCCAATCCAGAGGTCTCTTTGCATTTGTAGGAATTACAGAAATCATCATAGTCATTCCCTGGGGGTTGAGTGGCTTCAGAACCAGTTCCAGTTGTGTTAGGCTGCCACTGCTCACAGGCAATAGGCTAGACTGCATGCCTTTTTGCACTTAAGTTAAAATGCTTCTGTCCAGGAGCAGAACCACAGGAAAGCTGGCCATTAAGTAAGTAAGTGTGTGTGTGTGTGTGTGTGTGTGTGTGTGTGTGTGTGTGTGTGTGACCAGAGACAGAGAGAGACATGGAAATGTTTGCAGCATGTGTGTTCCTTGCCTGGTGACACCTGGGTATCCATTTTCTAACCTTCATTTCAGGTGCTTGATAATGCTATAGAAACAGAGAAAATGATTGAGAAGTACGAGTCACTTGCTTCTGACCTTCTGGAGTGGATCGAGCAAACCATCATCATCCTAAACAACCGAAAATTTGCTAACTCACTGGTCGGGGTCCAGCAGCAGCTTCAGGCGTTCAACACATACCGCACAGTGGAGAAACCACCTAAGTAAGAGGCAGAGTGTAATGTATTGTCGTTAGTATGGGAGCAGACGTGATTTCATCTGTTAACTCAGTGTCCCTCCTGGTAGCCTGTTGTCCTTCTTGCCTGATTGCTGAGACTTGTTATATATCATGTTTTGCCTGGGCCCTGTCTAGTAGTCTGTACCGTTGACACTCAGGATATGTGTGAACCCCAAAAATGATACCAGTCCTCAGTTCTTCTCAAAACCCTTGTGTGCGATGCTTTGTAGATTTTAGAAAAGCAACACAATGAAGCCAGGTGTGCTAGCACACACCTGTAATTCCCACATGTAGGGCACTTCAGGAAGATCCTGAGTTCAGGGTTACTTGGGACTACATAGCAGGATCATGCCTCTGAAGAAAAAAAGAAAAGTCAGGGTATATATTGATACATAGTATATGTTTTAAGACCCTGGACAGATCTGATAAAATAACCTGTAATCAAACATGTGCTGACATTAATATTGTGTTAAGTAAAGACAGTTAATCATTGCATATCAGTTGAGATCAAGTTCTGCTACCTAAAAAAGTTATTTTTTTTCTTTTCTTCAAATGTATGTGATGTATGCACCTGTATATGTTTGGAAATGTATAGCTGTGTGCATACTCAGAAGCCAGAGGAGGGTGTCTGGTGCCCTTATTCACTTGAAGGGCGGTGCTGCCAGTGATCCTCCCTGCAGTCAGCAGCATAGTTTCGCCAGCTTTTACTGCTAGTGCTATAGGTCTAACTGCACTCCTTACACTTGCACAGCAAGTGCTCTGACATGTTACACCATCTCTCCAGCCCCTGCATATAATTTGTGAGTTTAGTATTTTAATATAAGTAAGGGTTATGGACTTTATTTCTTGTTCACTGTACTTCCAAAGTAAGTCCTTTTATTTCTTGTGAAAATTCAGTTGTGAGTTCTTTGTTGAGAGAGGTCTTTGAAACTCACTGAAAATTTAGGTTAGACATTTTCTGACTTGTTTATCCACCTCTCTGAAATAAGTCCATGGTCCAGAGCAGTGGTTCTCACCCTTCCTTTCTGTTGCTGAGACCCTTGAATACAAGTCCTCATGTTGTGGGGGACCCCCCAGCCATAAAACTATCCTCATTGCTACTTCATAACTGTAAAGTTTGCTACTCTTATGTAAATATCTAATGTGCAGGATAGCTGATATGTGACCCCTGTGAAAGGGTTTTTCGACCCCTAAGAGGGTCGTGAGAACCACTGGTCTAGGGCATAAGGTTTAAACCTTGGTTGAGGTTACTAGTAAGAATTCTTTGTTCCCTTGATGGCCTCACCCATCAGTCCTGACAACAACAGAGCAGTGCTGCAGTTCCAGGTCCATAAAGACCAGTGACTAGCCTGCTGCTGTCCCAGGGTACATACAGATTTAAGAGAAGGATTTTAAAATTTCATGACTAAGTGAAGTATGTTTTTCTCTAATAAATGAACTTTTGGTCTTGAAGGAAAAAGGCACAGTAATGATTATGGCTGGTTTTCTCTATTCAGGTTTACTGAGAAGGGGAATTTGGAGGTGCTGCTTTTCACAATTCAGAGCAAGATGAGAGCTAATAATCAGAAGGTCTACATGCCCCGAGAAGGGAAGCTCATCTCTGATATCAACAAGGTGAAGCTGACCTGTGTGCTCATGTGTTGGTCCCCCTATCCAGCAGGCTTGAAGTTCTCTCTGCTTGATTATTTAGGAGGGCAGGAAAATGCCAGGATCACTCCAGCATCTCCCTGTAGATGGTAGGAATAGCAGAAGGTCCAGCAAAGAGTTGTAATAGTCAGTCCATGGGAGCTCTGCTGGCAGTGTTAAGACTATGTCAACAGCCCTGGCTCACAGTTTACCTTGTTACCCAGATGCTCATCTATGGGAAGCACTCAACTGCATAGAGAGGAACTGGGTCTGATTCCACGTGCTTGGAATGTCTGCGGGTTGTGGACATAGAGGCTGTGCCTCGCACGCCTGCAAGTACAGACTTGTACTGTGGCTATTATTTCCACATGAAACTTAGAAAAAATGTAGAACTGTTCATTTGCACCCAGAATCCTTTGAGCATTCAATGATAAGATTTTTTTTTTTAAAAGATTGACATTTTTGGGAGTGAATTTAATGTGAACAGTCAGGATTTTTAAAGAAAAATTGGAGCATGTGAATTTTTTAAACTATGGCTCTTGGTGGAGCAAATTAGAGATCCCTAATATGTTTGGCTAATGAGAGTCGGTTTGTTTCTTTTATATGATGAGGGCTTCTTAGAAGATGTCGTTACGTCGCTCCTTACCCGGAAAGTGTTTGTTTCCAAGCTTGCGGCAGGATCTCTGAACACAAGAGTCTGTTCCCATGAGGCTCTGCTGAGGGGGAAAAGCATCTTTTTCTCAAGGGTGGAAATGGAGTTTCCCTGTCAAGTCCTACGATGCTTTGGACAAATACTAGCTGTTACTGTAGTCAAGGACAGCTCCTTGAATGTTGCAGGCAAACATGCTTTTTTTTTTTTTTTAAACTTCTTCAGGCCTGGGAAAGACTGGAAAAAGCAGAACATGAGAGAGAACTGGCTCTGCGGAATGAGCTCATACGACAGGAAAAACTGGAACAACTCGCCCGCAGATTCGATCGCAAGGCAGCTATGAGGGAGACATGGCTGAGCGAAAACCAGCGTCTTGTGTCTCAGGTTCTGTCTAAATTACTAACGCAAGTTTTTCTGAGGTAGCCAAGCAGTGCTAGCCCTCCCCGAGAGGCCTTAGAGCTCAGGACAGCACCTAACAACGCTCAGTATTGGGAAGTTGCTAACCAGCCATCACTTCCACTTGCACAAAGAGGATGTTTACAATTTCTGATATACTTTCTTGTCTGTTTGTCTAACTTGTCATCGACTTGACCTTGAGCAGTTTGTTCAGAGCCTGTGACTGTGAATCGTTCACATTCATGTAAGCTTAAGTTTCCCTCATTCTTTCCCTCAGAGTTTGACCAACCATCCTCTCAAGGCATTGACACTGGTCATGAAATACAAGAGCAACTTTCTTTCTCTTGGCTTGACAAAGTCCTCCCTACTTCAGGATCTTAAGTCAAGTGGTCGGCCTTCCGCAAAGTGAGGATATGTACTGTTAGAGACACATCTGAACTCAACCAGGAGTTTGTAAGGGCCCTAGGGCAGTGAGAAACCAGTGGCAGAGTCAGCTTATGCACTGGGTTGCGCCCCCACAACACCCCGTTCAGATGACTTACATTTCCTTTTTGTTCTGTCTCTCTGTAGGACAACTTCGGATTTGACCTTCCCGCAGTTGAGGCCGCCACCAAAAAGCACGAGGCCATTGAGACAGACATCGCTGCGTATGAAGAACGAGTTCAGGCTGTGGTGGCTGTGGCCAGGGAGCTTGAAGCAGAGAACTACCATGACATCAAGCGGATCACAGCGAGGAAGGACAATGTCATCCGGCTCTGGGAATACTTGCTGGAACTGCTCAGGGCCAGGAGACAACGTCTTGAGATGAACCTGGGACTGCAAAAGATATTCCAGGAAATGCTTTATATTATGGACTGGATGGATGAAATGAAGGTAACATTTGATCAAAAAATGAAAGCAGGGAGGCCAGAACTGATTCAGTCAGACCTTTTCTTTGTGGGAGGGAGTCATGCACTAGTGCCCTTTCTCCAGTATGCTCTTCTGCAAAGCCAAACTGAGGCTACAATGCTGGCTAGCTCACCACGTAAATGAGATGAGCGCCGTGGAAACGCTGTAAACAAGACCACCTGATAGCCCAGATCTGATGCAGCGATTAGCTCGATCTTAAGTATATACCAGTGTAAAGACTCATTGTGATTTTCTTTTTCGTTGTTAATATGTTTAGTGATCTGTATATTAGTGATACTGTGCAGATGGGAGGGTGGTGATAAGCACAGGCCCGGCAGCTAGGAAGCTAGAATTCAGATCCTAGTACTGTATCACTTCCTCCCCTTCAAACCTGCTTTCTTTGTCTTTTTATGGAGCCAGTACTTAAGTCTGCCTCGGTGCTCTCAGATGCTGGGGTGTGGTAAGACGTGTACCGGTTGCTGTGGGGCTGGATGATAATGGCTGCAGTGCTGCTTTGGGCTTTCTCTTCTATCCCTGGCACTTACGGCCTAGAGTGATACCATTGTGTCACAGCCCTGTGCCTGTTGGCTTCTTCTGATGCAGACCACAGGGAACCATCTTTATAGAGCAGTGTTTGAGCTGGAAGACTTTATCCCTCAGAACAGAAGAGAATAGTGTTCAGACCATCCTCTTTTTTACTAAGAACACTGTTTCTTATATAAGAGAACTCTGCCCCTGGATGTCAGTCTTTACCTGTTCCTTGCCTCTTGAGCTGTGGTGACAGAGGGACAAGATCAGCTGATGACTCAGTTCCCCTCTGCAATTGCCCCACACTTACAGTGTTACTAGGTTTGATCTTTGACTTCTTAAAATAGAAATGTTCACTTTATAAATCATAATATGCAGTCTATAATTCAGGTTAACATAGTTTCCTAAGAACTGTTATGAATGAAATAGAAATTATATCTGAGGATGATGTGGAATGGTAGATGGGAGAAAAATTTGCAAGTTGAATGAAGAACAAGAAAATTCCAGTGATGTGGTACCTGACTGTGGTCTCCTTACTAGTTAAAGACGTGGCACCTGACCATGGCCTCCTTGTTGGGTTAAAGATGCGGCACACAAGCTGTTAGGTAGATTCTCCTATTGATTATATAGCTAGCATAAAGGCTCTTGGGGGAAGAGTCCCTTAAGAGGACTCCCCTTCTGTGTTTTTAATGTGAATTTTACTTGCTTTTGCCTAGGGACATTGTCTGTAGTTCCCTGTGTCTCTCCTGATCTAGGTCTCATGTTTGTTTTTTTCTGACTTATTTGGCATTGTCTTGCCCAAAGGTGGCCCATGACAAATCAGAGGGATGGTACGGCAAGGATGCTAAGTCTGTGATACACTGACGTCAGTCGTATTCACAGGTGTCGTCTCTCTTGCCATTCATACACAGGTGCTATTGCTGTCTCAAGACTATGGCAAGCACTTGCTTGGTGTTGAAGACTTGCTGCAGAAGCATGCCCTAGTTGAAGCAGACATTGCAATCCAAGCAGAACGTGTAAGAGGTGTGAATGCCTCTGCCCAGAAGTTTGCAACAGATGGGGAAGGTAAGAATGGACTGTTTTAGGCATTGTCACCTCAACAATGGAAATATCTCCATTGTGTGTGACAATGGGACTTGTAAGTTACTGTACCATTTCATGGTTTCTGGCAGGATTGTTTGCCTCCAGGTCATAATGTGTCAGTGCACTGTTTTGTTTTTAATACTTCAGCACTGTCTTTTTCTGAAATAGACACATATTTTCCTTCAAATGCTATCTGGTTTTGAGAGCTTTGGCCTCTGGCAGTGAAGGTGTTTCCAGTCTGTGCTCACTAAAGATGTGCACTAACAGCCTACTGTGGTGGCTCTCACAGCGATGACACCTAGTCACATACTGTTGGGGATGCTGAGAAGGACTGGGCCTTGCTTCTTAAGAACTCAGTAAGCACAGCTGCTTGCTTCCATATGATGCATGTGCTTTCTTGATTTATAAGTGATCTCTTTGTCTACAGTTGGGCCAAAAGAGCAGTGCCTGTCATAGCCCCTTCTTCCTGTTGTATCTAGTCAGGAGCTCAGCAAGTGTCCTGGTACTTTTTACGTGACACTGCTTAGACTGGAGCCAAGCTAGAACATGGTGCATAGCTTACTGTCTGGAAATGAGCAGGGAGCTGTTGGAGACTCAGCGTCCTTTCCTTGGTGTTAAAACAGGCTACAAGCCATGCGACCCCCAGGTAATCCGAGACCGTGTTGCCCACATGGAGTTCTGCTATCAAGAGCTTTGTCAGCTGGCAGCTGAGCGTAGGGCTCGCCTGGAAGAGTCCCGTCGCCTCTGGAAGTTCTTCTGGGAGATGGCAGAAGAGGAAGGCTGGATACGGGAGAAGGAAAAGATCCTGTCCTCTGATGATTACGGGAAAGACTTGACTAGTGTCATGCGCCTGCTGAGCAAGCACCGGGCATTTGAGGATGAGATGAGCGGCCGTAGTGGCCATTTTGAGCAGGCCATTAAAGAAGGTGAAGACATGATTGCAGAGGAGCACTTCGGATCAGAAAAGATCCGAGAGAGAATCATTTACATCCGGGAGCAGTGGGCCAACCTGGAGCAGCTCTCAGCCATTAGGAAGAAGCGCCTAGAGGAGGCCTCGTTACTGCACCAGTTCCAGGCTGATGCTGATGACATTGACGCTTGGATGTTAGATATACTCAAGATCGTTTCCAGCAGTGATGTGGGCCATGATGAGTACTCCACACAGTCTCTGGTCAAGAAGCATAAAGATGTAGCAGAAGAGATCACCAACTACAGGCCCACTATTGACACGCTGCACGAGCAGGCCAGTGCCCTTCCACAAGCACATGCAGAGTCTCCAGAGGTGAAGGGCCGGCTGGCAGGAATTGAGGAGCGCTACAAGGAGGTGGCAGAGTTAACACGGCTAAGGAAGCAGGCTCTGCAAGACACGCTGGCCCTGTACAAGATGTTCAGTGAGGCTGATGCCTGCGAGCTCTGGATTGATGAGAAGGAGCAGTGGCTCAATAACATGCAGATCCCAGAGAAGCTGGAGGACCTGGAAGTCATCCAGCACAGGTGAGTGAAGTTACTCCCTGGGTGCCGAGGCTGTGGACTGAAACATAAGCCATTGAAGTCACTACCCTTTTGATTGCTTTTCTCAGATTTGAGAGCCTAGAACCAGAAATGAACAACCAGGCTTCCCGGGTTGCTGTGGTGAACCAGATTGCACGGCAGCTGATGCACAGTGGCCATCCCAGTGAAAAGGAAATCAGAGCTCAGCAAGACAAACTCAACACGAGGTACGCATGGCATCAGCAGTGTCCCTGCTGTCCCCAAGAGGCTCTGGTGAGGGTGAGGGTACTTGCCCAGCTTGGCTGTCTGGAGTTTCCTGCACAGGTTCACTGGCCTTGTAGCATGGATGTCATGGTGTTGGCACCTGCTTTTCCAAGTATCCTCATCCATGTTTTGCAAGAAGCAACTTTTAGGGTGAGGTTACATTATTCAGGACATGAGTCAAAGTCACCTAACTTCTCCCCAAATTAAAATTAGAGCCTTGCTGATCTATACCCAGTATGGTGGAAGACAGACAGCAAGATAGAACCCGAGTTGTACCTTTAAGTTGAAGTCTAGAGCAGGGTTCTGTAATGAAGCTTGGTTTGTTGAAGAAAGCCTCAGTTATCAGGGAAGACCCCCGCCCCGTCCCTGTCTTTCTGTGGAGCAGACATATTTGAGTTGGTTATTCAAAAGCTTACCATTAGTCTTTGGTTTGGGGAAATTTTTGAGAAGTTTTGAGAAGCAGCAGCAGTTTTGAGAAGTGTATGATGAGTACAACAGGCATAAACGAGTCACTAGACTCTGTGGGACAGATGTGTCCTAACTGTTCACTACGCTGCACTGAGCCATTTGATTGACATTCACTGGGTGACATGATTTAAAAACACACAAGTAAAAACAGAGAAAGCCAGAGAAAGATGGGAAGGAGAAAAGTGAGGCAGCTTGCACTCTGGCCGCTCGCTCGCCTGGGGCTCCACCGTGCATTCTGTGTCCCTTCTCATGGTACTGTGTGTGTTCACAGGTGGAGTCAGTTCAGAGAACTGGTGGACAGGAAAAAGGACGCTCTTCTGTCTGCCCTGAGCATCCAGAACTACCACCTCGAGTGCAATGAGACCAAATCCTGGATCCGGGAGAAGACCAAGGTCATCGAGTCTACCCAAGACCTTGGCAACGACCTGGCAGGTGTCATGGCCCTGCAGCGCAAGCTGACCGGCATGGAACGAGACTTGGTAGCCATTGAGGCGAAGCTGAGTGACCTGCAGAAAGAAGCCGAGAAGCTGGAGTCCGAGCACCCTGACCAGGCTCAAGCTATCCTGTCTCGGCTGGCCGAGATCAGTGACGTGTGGGAGGAAATGAAGACAACCCTGAAGAACCGAGAGGCCTCACTGGGAGAGGCCAGCAAGCTGCAGCAGTTCCTGCGGGACCTGGATGACTTCCAGTCTTGGCTCTCCAGGACCCAGACTGCTATCGCCTCAGAGGACATGCCTAACACCCTGACTGAGGCAGAGAAGCTTCTCACACAGCACGAGAATATCAAAAATGAGATTGACAATTACGAGGAAGACTACCAGAAGATGCGGGACATGGGCGAGATGGTTACCCAGGGACAGACTGATGCCCAGTACATGTTTCTGCGACAGCGGTTGCAGGCCTTGGACACCGGCTGGAATGAGCTCCACAAAATGTGGGAGAATAGGCAAAATCTCCTGTCCCAGTCCCATGCCTACCAGCAGTTCCTTAGGGACACGAAACAAGCCGAAGCCTTTCTCAATAACCAGGTAATGCTCCACATGGACCTGGCTGCCATCCTGGTGAAACAGGCCCTGGCTGATGTTGGAAGCTTGGCTAAGCAGCAGGCTTAAGCCATGCCTGTATGAAGTTAGATGTATTGTTTTGAAACAGATGCCCTCCCACCCCCTACTCTTCATGTCATTGAAACCCCTCACGATGTAAAGACCTAGGATTGAACATTTCTGAGGAAGTTGTTTTGCCTTCCAAAGTATGGTAGTTCTGTGGTAATTACCATTGAGGTCTATGTAACTTCTCATTTAGTTAGGCAACGTTCTGCGGGGTGCGGGCCCAATTTAAAGAATACAGTGAGCAAGTTTTGGGGGATTATTTTTTGTTCTAGAAAGATCAAGAACTTCACCCAAGGATACAAAGCAAAGATGAGAAGAATAAAAGCAGCTGCAGATGGCTTCCACTGTCAGGGTTACAGTCTGTCTGAAGAGAGAATAGAGAGACTGCCACTGTCAGGGTTACAGTCTGTCTGAAGAGAGAGAATAGAGGGACTACCACTGTCAGGGTTACAGTCTGTCTGAAGAGAGAATAGAGGGACTGCCACTGTCAGGGTTACAGTCTGTCTGAAGAGAGGG